CGGGCGGTGGCGGACGTCCCCGCCCCAGCTCTGCTTCGCACAGGGGAACCGAACCTACGCTGGGAAGTGCCGGGAAGGAGTCGCGTGTGAAGCTCCCAAATCTGTTCTCTTGGGGGAAAAAAGTACATCCCCTGCCTTCGGGCTGCTCCCGAAACAGGCTGTAAACCTGTACAAAATAGAGGTGCACGCCTGATGCAAGATGCCCACGCCCTAGGGACCAAGGGGAGATAAGATAACGATTCACTATCTGAGCCATTTCTGCTGCGTGCGGGGACGGGGCACCACGCCTGGGTCACACCGGGCACAGCAGCACCGAGGGGTCTCCGGGGAGGCCGCCTGAGCAGGGCTTGGAAACATCCCTCGGGGAGGGGCAGCAGGGCAGCACCCCCGGCCTGGAAACCGAACTGCTGCAGACTTTATGCAAACTTGTCACCCTGGCAATTAGTTTAGCCTTTTAAGCATCTAATTTCCCTGATTTTGTGCTCCCTTTTGGGCATGCATTTTTATGCACTGGGGCTCTGACTGGCAGAGTGGCCGGTGTCCACATCTCCATAAAGCTGCTGACAGCTGAACTGCTGGGCATGTTAGCAAGGTGAAGTCAGACTGCTGAAACATATGACAACCAAAATAAACCATGTTTTTAGCGATGTTTCCTCTGTATGCCTTCAGCAACCAAATAATTACATGTGGCATGATTCCTGGGAATATTACAAAGTAAACCTCATTACTAGTTATAATGCATATATGAGTTATTCATTGGAACTGTCTTTAAAGTACAATTTTATTCTATATTTTTTTAACACTGAGGCAGTCAAATGCTGGAGGTAGTTGACCAAATATATGTAAATTATTCATCATATGGACTTTTTATAGCAAGAGCAGATGTTCTTCAGTGATCTAGTTGAACTACAAGTTAGAGAGCCATAGCTCCATTATGGTTCATAGAACTTGGGTGTTTTGCTGCTAACTTAGGTCTTATTGCAGCACCTGCATTTGTCCCTAAAATAGCTCATGAGTCAGGTTTTCAAAAAAGCTCAGCATCTTCACAGGCACTAATGCTTGGGCCATTTTTTCTAAGAGCTCTGCATACTTTGTGTGCATTTAGTCTAAAAAGCTTTTCTGGGAAAAAAAAAAATCTCATTCTTCTACAGGTGACCAAATAAGAATCTAGATTCCCCTGCCTTTAAATTAAATTCTTCCTGAGGGGCTGTATTCAAACACTGTTACTGTGAGTGGCTCTTCCCTGCCTCGCTTGTTGGGGAAACTGGCTGGCTTCATCAGCTGCTGTCATTTCACTACAGTTTCTCTAGGATTTCACAACTGCAAAGGGTTCATTTGGCTCCTCTGCCTTTCATGAGCCTGTTCTTGGCAGGGCTGTGTGGGAAGAAGGTGGAAGACAGGGATGTGCCTTTCTCCTGGGTGCAACAGGCCATGGGATGATCAGGCTGTCCTGGGGAAGAGATCCAGGCATCCAAACCTTGCTTTATCCAGAGACTGAGTTTGTGCAGTTATTGGAGATGACCTCCTCTGCTTTTGAGTGTATTCACTCTGAACTTGTCACCTTAGTGAAAAGTTAATAGTATGAAAGTAATAATAAGCAAGAATTCAGTTCAAATGGAAAATATATGCATTTTCTGAAGATTTGTGGGGGTTGATACAAGCATGACATTAACTTGCATCTACTCAATCTAAGCCAGTTCTGTCAGCAAGACTGCAAAGAGGAGTGTCATCACTTTGTAGCTCAATGTAAATTATTTTTCTTCAAATAATTTAAAATATGTAAAGGATGTGCCTATTTCCTGTCTGAAGAAGAAATTTTTTATCCAATATCAGGATTCAGGTGTGCACAAAACCAGTCAAAAGTATAAGAGAGAAAGGTGAGACTTTACATTTAATCTTGACTCTGAATCTTCAGTTACATAATTTTGTATTCCATTATCTAAGATGCACTGTAATATCCCTCATACATTTTCATTAATCTTATGCAGAGCATGTGCAACAGCTTGCCATTTTCCTTCATTCTGCCTCTTCTCATTATTTCCCATTAGCATGATTATTCAGTGTGTTTATCACCTTTTTGCACCTAGTCTCTCTCTGCCTTGTGAGTGGGCTGAATCCTCTGTAAGTAGTCCTGTAACCTACAGCAACAGAGCATCTGGCTCGCAGTACGTTATTAGGAAAGGGTTGAGATGTCATCTTTAAGACCTATCTTTTGCAGAAGAAGGGTGAGGTGTAATTATGACTAAGGCTGTCCTCTTTAATTTAATTAATAATAGAATTTAATAATTGTGACCAGGCTGTCCTTTTATGGTCAAAAAACCAGTCTGTACCACTGCATGGCTCTGACTTGTTCCCGTGCTGCTCGTCCTCCCTCAAACACCCTGCAGGACCTCTAAGCACGATCCCCATTCTCTGTTTCCCAGTTTGGAAAGGAACAGCCTGGAAGGCATTTCAGTATCCATTTCCACTGGCAACTCATCAATTGATCCCAGCTTATTTGTCTGTGCAGCAAGTGTTAAATGTGCACGGTTCTTCTTCTTCCTCACTGTGTCACCAATACCTCCCATGGCCAAGTTAGGGCAAATGACAACTTAGTCACTATAGAACGTCCATCTGTGAAAGATTTGCTACCAGGAGTGCAACATATTTTAGCTGCAGCTGACTTATGAGGCAGATCAGTGTGCTCTCAGAACCGACACGCTCAAGCTGCCCTTAGTTACACCTGATTCCCCGCACTGCCAGGAAGGGGCAGGTGGCACTCGGGTACAAAGGGACCTCAGGCAGCAGCCAGGCTGGAGAGGCTGCGCGTACCAACGGGTGTTCACTGCTGCCTGGGACCGGCCAGCTCTGATTCCAGCTGTGGCTTACTCTGCAATGCCCAGCGCCTTCTCTGTGTGCTTATCTAGCAACAAGAAAAAAAGTAAAATGGTTTGGAAAGGTAGTGACTTGAGAAGCAAAATGTACTCACATGTTTAAAGACAAATTTTGAGTTGGTACAGAATCTGGGTTTGTCTGTTCACTGCCTGTTTGCAGCAGTGAGGAGCCAGCCCAGAGGCACACATTCTGAGAGCTCACAGGAGACATAAGAACCTTTTAAAATCAATTTCTGATAACTTTTTTCCCTTTCCACTGTTGTAAAGCTGCTGTTTCTTTTGTATTTCTCCGGAGAAGAAAAGAAGACAAAAAATTACCATCTCTGGTAATTTGTATCATTGCATTCCTAGTCTCCATGGAAACCTATGTGGTGCTCCACAGTTGGGTAAGATTTGAATCTGTTGCTGCAGAAATCAGATGGAAGGAAGACTGGATTATGCACCTTGACTGTTAATCAATTAAAAGAGATTTTGAAATTATTTTCACCTTGTGTTGTAATCTTTACTTAGAGTAACAATAGAATAAATCAAAATAATCAAATTAGGCTAGTGTGACCTGATCCTATGTACACCTATGCATGTAACTCTGCCACTCAGTTTGATTCTGATAGGCATTGACATTAATTTGGAAGAATTCTTTGTTTATAGTAGGATAATAAGGATTAATACTATGGAAACTGAACCCATAATAGCAAACTGTTGTCATATTGACTCTTTTAAAAAGAGAGGCAGTAACAATTGCCTTGTTTTAATTTATGTAAGAAAACATTTTGAAAATTAAGAATCTGAATTCCTTATTTTTTGCTGTCTTCATTCTTGTTCTTCCACTGCTAAGGAAGAAATACATCCCCAAACTGGTTTCCTCTGAAAAGATGTGGTAACTTCATCTACTTGCTGCTTCTTTACTCCAAGCTTTATGAACTGGAACACAAAGGCACATCATCTTACTGGGACAGCAGAAGGTGACACAGAGGAGTAATATACAGAGAGAGACCGATCTTTTTTGTGATCACAGTCAACCCATGAAGAGTGAGGGCTTTCAGCCACCTAAAAGTAAGTAAAATATATAGTAATGGAAATAGTGCAGCCTACTGTCAGCCTGTAAATACTCCTGCATAGAGAGCCACGATAACAAGTTACACAAAGAAATAAATTCATTGCACAATTTTCTAAGCATTTTACATTTGAACAATGAAGTCACGGTATTCACTACAACTGCACTAACTACAGTGGTGAAATACAATAGTGATTTATGGTATTCACCATAAACAAACCACAAAATCTGATTATTTTGTATGCATTTTTAGGTATTTACTGCATTTGCTTCAGAATACTGTGGAGAAAATGTATGCAAGTCGAGAGGATATTGGATATGATTTTGGAGATGACTCCAAAGTTGGAAGTAAGCCAATTAAACCTAATCCAAACATCGATGGAGGATGGGCTTGGATGATTGTATTTTCCTCTTTCCTTGTGCACATACTCATCATGGGCTCCCAAATGGCCCTTGGAATACTCAACATGGAATGGCTTGAGGAGTTTAATCAAAGTCGTGGCTTAACAGCGTGGGTTAGCTCCCTCAGCATGGGCATCACACTTATTGTAGGTATGTGCCAGCAGCACGTATTTTAAAACTAGATATATTTTTAGAATATGTTTGCCATTCATCCCTAAAGTATTTTCTAATGGTTGTCCCAAGGTGACCTTTTAAAGTCACCAGGAGAAATTTTACAACATAGATGGAGAAAGGGAGTAACAGGGAAGATGACAGGGAAGACAGCCCAGCAGACTGCATGAGCAGGAAAGGAAGGCTGTGACTTCCAGGTCTGACTGGAATTAAGAAAACATGATCTGTGAAGCTTGGAGTCCTCCCCATGCTGCATCTGTGAGGAGAAAATGTTGAATTCACGCAGTTTGTATTTCAGTTTGGCAGCTGAATGAAAATGTATTTTTTTAGTTGTAGTTGGATCAACCCAAAATAGTATCTAGAGAAAATGTTTGTGTATATATGTATATACACATGTATGACTCCCTAAATGAAGACTGAAAAAAGTTATGTTTATATCTGCCTAAATTATTCTACTGAAAACAAGATAAAATGCTTAACTTCTGGTTACTTGTGAAAAAGTCTTGCACTTATACAGCATCAGAATGGGGAACAAGAGTTTTAGCTGATTCCTCTCTTTAAACAGTCCCTTCTTCATGGGGCAAATTTGATTGTAGGCATTGCAGGTATTTGCTAAGTATTTAATCAGTTAGTTGTATTTCTCTTTCCATGATTTTAAGAAATAATATGAAAAATAAACTGACTTGCATGAGTTGCCTGATGTTTTAACATTTTATTTAAAACATTAAGAAACTTAAGGTGAAAAATTATTAGAGCATAAAGAATAAAGAAATAATTTATCATTTCTTTCATGCTTTTTAACAGGTCCTTTTATCGGTTTGTTCATCAGCATGTGTGGGTGCCGCACGACAGCCATAATTGGAGGGATCCTGAATGCCCTGGGCTGGATACTGAGTGCCTATGCCTCAAATGTGCACTACCTCTTCCTCACCTTTGGAGTGACAGCTGGTGAGAGCTGCACTAATGTTTGAAGGTTCTTTCAATTATTTCTGATTCCTTTGAAGCTTATTTGAGTGAGTAAATAGGGAAGGTAGACTGTAAAGTTATTCCAGCTCTGCTTTCACACTTTTACAGCCTGTTATCCTTTTAGAAAACTTATTTATTCAGTGGATTGGGCCCAGTGACTTCTGTTGTTGTTTAAATTTGCCATGTGAAGGTGGAACTTCTATCAGTTTCAGCCAAGTGAGTACATTAGAGGACATTTTTAATTAGGGGAGTTACTGTAACCCAAACTCTGACAAGTAAAATTTACAGATGAATTTCATATCTAGCTAACTCCTCTCCTTGCCACAGGAAAGAATAACAAATGTTTTCTCCAGAATTTCTATACATAAATTTTTATCTAGCTTTCTGGATGGAGAAATACTGAGCTTAGCAAAGATCACTCTGATGACTCTTTACACCACCTTACTGTAGACTTCAGTAACATTGTAAATTCCTGAACAAAGAACAATGATCACAGAGAGGATCCTGCCTTTTTTAGAATTTCTGTTTTCATATATATTGAATATAATCAAGCAGGCAGGAATCTACACAGTTCTTCTTCAGCTCCTGTGCTCTTTTCAGAAAGAGCACACGCAAAACAAAAAATGGCAGAGTTTAAGTAGAGAATTTAAAGAGGGATGAAAACCAGATTTTCTGGGGAAAAAAAACAAACTTTTATGTGAGATGGAGAACTGAGATGTTGCAGCAGTAATTCTGTCCAGAAAAACAGTGTAGAGATACCTGAGAGGTTCCTTCCGGCTCCATGAGACCTCTGCTCACTGTCCCTCCCTCACAATCTGCTCACTCACCCTCAGTCCTGCCGCTCACTCCCATCCCCTCACTCACCATGCCCAGTCGCGGCCCATCCAGAGAAGTCTCTCCATGTTCTCATGGCTGCTCCTGGAAAGCTGCTTTTCCCTTGCGGTGGCCACTTCTTGCTGCCATCACCTCTGGGCCTCCACACTGCGCCTGTGGGCCTGATCATGGCTGGTGCCTTCAGTCCATCCCTCCGATCCCAACCTCATCTCTCCATCCGCAGCCACCCTCAGCACATTGCCGAGGGCCCTTCCCTCAGGGCTCCGCTGCTCCTGGCAGCCGGCTCCCCTGGCAGCACCGGGGCTGGCTCCTCACGGCAGCAACCCCAAGAGCAGGGGTCCCCTGGCAGCACCGGGGCTGGCTCCTCACGGCAGCAGCCCCACGAACAGCGGCTCCCCTGGCAGCACGGGGCTGGCTCCTCACGGCAGCAGCCCCAGGGGCAGCGGCTCTCCTGAGGGACAGAGGCCTCCCCGAGTCTGTGGTTGGGTGTGGAGAGGGACACTGGTGCAAAACAAAAGCCCAAAAATAAAAGCCCAATTGTGTATTTGCCTTGGAAAGTAAGAAATACTTCTAAAAAGCAAAACGGGTCAGCTCAGACAGGGTCACTGCTGTGATGCTTTTTTTGGGGCTTTTTTGGAATCATGGCTTTCTCTGGCCTAGCTGCAGCTAGATCATGCTGTAGTTGCATGCAGCTACGTTAGCATCTCTTTAGGAAAACTTCTAAGTCACAAAACACTTCTGAATTACAATCACAGTGAGTTGGGAAGCATCTTCTGCATGCACCTGTTCCAACCCAAATCCCTCTATGAAGAATTTGCTGTGACAAAAAATGGTGAACTGTTACCTCTAATGATGTGTTTGTGCAATACATCGCTTCCTGCTTGAAGTATGTGCCATGAATACCCAGCCTGGTTTTTAACTACAGGGGAGGGGTTTTCAACAGAATTAGAGATCTGCCTTGTAAGACTGAGCAGCTACTGTGTGGCCCTCCCTGGACTGCCCAAAGAGAACCAGCCTGGAAGCCACCTGAGGTCCCACCAGTGCACTAACCCGGTGTGCTGACTCCTGAAATACGTGTCATGGTCACTCTGGCTCCAGTTACTGAACAAGGACAGGATCTCAGTGTGAATCTTCATTGCTGGGGAACTTGGGTGAAAGCAACAAGATGTGCTCACTAAGCAGTTCTGGTTACTGATACCATCAGATGTGGGTATTATAATTGCAGATATTTCAAAACAGGCTGTGTCTATGTTTGTCCCCATAGTAACTGTCACTGATTGGTTGTGGGACATTTGTAACTTTCAGTGTTGTCAGGCTGACCTGAGAGAAAGGTTTTATATTCCATGTGTTTAGTTTTTCTGGCAATAAATATCAGTGTTGCATTCTCTCTAGAATGAGTATTGCAGATTTTGGAAAACACTATGAAACAGAAATGAAAGCTAACATCAGAATTGAAAATCTATTATTGGTTTTACTACTATGCTTACACAAAAGTGAGGAATAAAATAGATTTTTTTCACTGCTTTTTATGTTGTTGGCAAACAGTTCAGATTTATTTAATTTTTTTTTATAGGTATTGGAAGTGGCATGGTTTATCTGCCTGCAGTGGTCATGGTAGGGCAATATTTTCAGAACAGAAGAGCACTTGCACAAGGGCTCAGTACCACGGGAACGGGGTTTGGAGCTTTCTTAATGACTGCCTTACTGAAGTACCTCTGCACTGAATTTGGGTGGAGGAATGCAATGTTCATCCAGGGGGCCATTTCCCTGAACCTCTGTGTCTGTGGGGCACTCATGAGACCACTCTCTCCCAAAGAGCTCCGTGAAAAATATGTGGTGGGAAATGATAGCGAAGAAAATCGGGCAAAAGCTCTGTCCCACTCTACAGAGACTATAAAATCTAATGGAGTCCTTGGTGAAGAACCAGAGAAAAAAGAAGAGGCAGCAAATGAAGAAGTGCTGGGCAGTGTGCAGCACATAGAAATCGGAGGTAAATCTGGAAGTGAAAGGAGCATGTATGGACTGCGCCTCTTTAAGACAGTGAGCCAGCTGACAGTCACAGTCAGGAAGGGCTTTGCACTCTGGTACTCCAGCTATTTTGGAGCTGCATCACTGTTTACCAATAGAGTATTTGTGGCCTTTATCATTTGGGCTTTGTTTGCCTATAGCAGCTTTGTCATTCCCTTTATTCACCTTCCAGAAATAGTCAAGCAGTACAAATTATCTAGGCAGGACAATGTATTTCCTTTGACATCCATTATAGCCATTGTTCATATTTTTGGTAAAGTGATCCTTGGAATCATCTCTGATCTGCCATGCATCAGCACATGGAATGTCTTCCTCATGGCTAACTTTACCCTGGTCACCTGCATTCTTACTTTGCCACTAATGCAGACATACATTGGCCTGGCTGTGGTTTGTGCTCTAATAGGATTTTCTAGTGGCTATTTTTCTCTAATGCCTGTTGTGACTGAAGATTTAGTTGGAACTAAACACCTTGCAAATGCCTATGGCATCATCATTTGTGCCAATGGAATATCTGCTTTGTTTGGACCACCCTTTGCAGGTAAAAAGTTCAAATTGCTAACCAACAGATGTTTGTGTAATGACTGTATGACTCTTTGTATTATTAAACATTCTTATGCTATGAGCATGTGTAGTTAACAAAATCACAGCTGCTCCAGAGTGGACATAACATCCAGCTTTACATTGTGCAGATTTACAGCTCATAACTCTGCCATCCCCAGCAGAAGGGAGAAGTGTATGTATGCTATCCCTAGAGTTACTTAGGTTTAAACAGACATTCATTACACATTTCGTCATAGAAAGAGGTGGGGGAATACAGAAGAGATACAGGTACTGATGGTCAGTACTGTATCAGACTCCAGCTCTCTTTTACAGAGGTGCTGCTGAGAAGGAAAGCTGTGAGAAATTCTGGGAGCCATGGCCTTAGTCAGCCAGGGCAGCTCTAGGCTGAAGGGAAGGCAGCAGCAGCGTGAGCAGCCCAGGAAAGCGAGAGCCCCTTCTCGCTTTGAGCAAGCAACACGAGCGAGAAGAAAGCTCTCTCAGTGCCCCTTGAAAGCAGCAGTGTTTTACTGTGCCACGTTCCCTCAGCACCTCCCAGTCTGTGCTAAACCTGCCTCTGAATTTGGCCTTTGGTTAAGAAGCAAACTGGATGCAAGCAGCTGATGTAAAGAGAGCTTCTGATCTTGTGGGTACATTGCAATGCAGCCAGCGTGGAGTGAGGGAGTTTGGCTTAGTTGGGTTCTCAAACCTTCCTGAAGTAATGAATTAGTAACTCTAATGAAGAAGTAACTTTAATGTGTTTTTGCAAAGGAATTGAGGCTGGAATGAGAGTCATTGCAGTATTGAGATTGTATCTCTTGAACAGTCTTCTATTGGTATGTGAGGCTTGGGAACAGCTGTGGGGAATGTGTTTGCTTGCACAAGGCATAGCATTTGAAATACCCAGTATTGGGCATTTTACAGAGGCTGTGATAGGGAGGAGGAAGTAATTGGTTTGGGATTACAAAATCTCAATTTTAAAATCAAACCTCTGATAACATATTTGAAAAATTTTGTTTTTCCATAAAATATCTGTGGATTTGACAGAAATGTCATGAAAGAAATGTGAAGTATTTTTTGAATTTTCTCATGAAATGTACCTTTTTGGCAAACTTTGTAACAAACATGTTCTGTCCTTATTTTCCAGGTTGGATCTATGACATCACACAAAAATACGATTTTTCTTTTTACATAGCTGGATTGCTATACATGGTGGGAATAATATTTTTACTTATACAACCTTGTATTCAAAAGAAACAGTCAAGAGAAAAATCTACAGAAGAAGCACAAGTATAGAACAAATTCCAGAACTTTTTTACAGAACTTTTTTTGTTTTGTGTTTCTCTTGTGTGGCAGTATGAAGATGTTTTTCTTATAGAACCAACCACATTTAGCTGCACTGCACTTAAGTGAAAAGCAAATATACTCCATAAGGCTTATAAATTATTGGAAATGTGCTTTTAAAATTGGTTAAGATATTTTCTACTTTAGAACTACCAAATACAGTGATTAAAAGCACACTGCTAGTATGTCAATATTAGAACCATGCTAAGAATACTTACCCTTGCTTCTCTTTTAATATTTCACCATTAACCATTGGTGAAAATCCACTGACTGCAGTGCAGTTACTCTGATTTACACTAGTCCTGTGAGAGAATTTGGTCAGGACATGAATGATTTATAAAAGTCCTTTCTACTATGTATTCAATCTGATGAAAGATTAGTTACTGGATATTAGAAAATGATTGTATTTCTTGCCTGGCTACTCAAGTACTGTTGAAATGCTACTAAAATAATTCCACTAATTCAGCTTACTAAAATTACTATTTCTGTGATGCAAATCTGAAGAAAAGTTCTCATATATTTCTGAAATTATTCAGTTGGACTCAATAGGTCCCTCCCAACCCAGTATATTCTGTGATTCTACTTCGGTGATTTTTAATTTTGTTTTTTCAAAGTATCAACTGCATTTGAAGTAGCTATCCCCAATACATAGGCTGCAGTTTAAACACTGTGACATTTAATGCACCTGAAGTAAAAAACCCATAAATGAAGAAACAGGAAACATGTGGAAAATGTTTCCAGAAACAGTTTGAGTTCTTTGGCCCCTTTACCTAATTAGAGTTATTGTAGAATTTAATAACATTGCCACTGACTCTTTCCATGGGAATGAACTCTACTACAGCACACTAAATTTTGTTATAATTTAATTTAATTGTTCACTAAATTTGTTACATATGAGCAGTCGTGTTGCTGCTTGTAATGTACCATGAACTGACTAAGATTCATCATGTTTGAGAAATTTATTCTCTAGAAAATGAGATACTGCAGAGCATGGAATAGCTAAAGAGCATTTAAAATATTAAAACAAATTTTCTCAACATTAAGGGTCTGGTAACCAGTGCAGAAGGCGATGTATGGTGGTTGAGGGTTTATTTTTTTCAGCTTTGAGAAGTGAGTCTGATGTTAATTTTCCTATCAAATAAGAACCACTGTAAGTTTTCATCCTCTTAGCTTTATGAAAGTTCTTTGCATGACGAATCTGGTTCTTAGTTTAATATTTCTACGTGCTGCTGGAGTTCCTTAAAAAGCAATTGAAACTGTTCAATTATATTGAAGAACTATTGGGAAACAGCTCAGTACACAACAATAGCAATATCCTTATCTTCTTTATAGCTGCAAGGTTGGTTAACAAAAAGTTCTGAATGTGTATTGTTCTATATTGCAATTCACCAGCTTCTTAGTGTTGCACTTTACAGCTCTTGTCAGGGACATACTTTAAAGTATTCCTTAAAGATCACTGAAGTGAGCCAAGTTAAAAATAAAACCTTAAGAAACCCTGAATTATTTTAAGATTTACATCAGTACAATCATATAGGGTAGTTATGTATGGCCTTTAAAATTCACATAAGACAACTGAGGTGGCACTGAACTGCAACACATGGAGTGAACACACAGTCAGTAACTTCTGAAAATCAGCTTTTGTTATTGGAGAAAATGTGCATGTAAATTTTCACATCAGTTCTTTGTTACAGATTAAATATCTTCTTGGTGGGAATGCTGCTGATGGCTCATTTGATCTGAGCTTTTTTTGTTTCTGAAAGATATGTATCCTTCATACATAGATCTTCACTTTGTCTTTTGTCAAAAGCAATGGTATTTGCATAATACAGTAATGAAAAATACGTTGTTCACTTGTGGTATCTGCAATAGATCTTTTAGTAGAGGTTCTTATAGGGCCACATGTTGGGAATAAACTTACATTACCCAAAAATACACATTCTGTTCATTTATTAAGTTAGTATGGTATTTTAGTCACATAATGGAATTTGTATTTCTCATTATCCTAAAACAAAATAATCACAAAGACGAAAGAATATATATGGAAGTGCTTCTTATACCTAAAGGTGAACAGTCACTGAATGTCTCCAGCACATTGGTATATAGTTCTAGAACAAAAAATGCTTAATATAAATCAATGAATATTTAAGTATTAAAGTACTGGTTTATAAAGAAACAGAATTATACAAGAACCCTGTATTCATAGTTTTTAATCAATTTATAAAATTCAAGTTTAGTACCTGACATGTTAAAAAATTGTAAACTCTTTACACTCTTCAAATATGAAACTATTATATCCAAATACTGAAATCACTGGTTTAATACTTGGGTCCTAGATCTAGTCAATTGTAAATGATATATTAATTACCCTCTATAAATGACAATGCCACAGCATCTGCTATAAGCCATGGACTACCTGTGGCATAGATACAAAACAGAGAAATCAGAATGAAGAAATAGAAAGTAGCCACAACCTGTTCTATTGCAGTAACTACTATGATGCTGATAAAACACAATTTCAGGATACCCAACCTATTAAGCATTGTAATATTTACATGTTGCTCCTGGTAAAACATATTTTATTTTTCTTCTTTCAATCCTTAAAAAGTCTGTTTTCTGTAGTAAAGAAGAAAAGTCCATGTGTCTGACCCAATAAACAGCCATGCCTTATAGCAATTACTTCAATGGAACATGCACCTTTATTCTGTTAGGTTTTGCTCTTGGCACATTGCTCCTGCCCCCTCTGGAGCTGTGGCTGACATTTGTGTGTGTGAAGGTTCCCAGCCCAATTCCTGGGGGCTCTTCCATTTCAGGTGGGGCTGTGTCCGCAAGAGCTTCCCAGGGCACGTTACTGTCACGTAGCTGCTTGTGAGAGAAAGGAGAGGCTTAAAATCATCATTTGGCTTACTCACTGCTGCTTATTCTACCCCACAAAATGTGTTTAGACAGCACAGAGGCCTTGTATGAAGGTCACTTGCAGTGCAAGCTGCCCACGCATTTTGAAAGACGCAGTGATAGTTAAACTCACAGAACATCAGAAGTTTTGTCCAGGGTTGCCAGTGCAAGATATCACATGTTTTTCTGTGAAATATCTGAGAAGCTATTTTTGGTATAATATCCAAGGCCTTTCTGCCACTGAAAAAAAAAAAAAAGAAAAAAAAGAAAAAAAGCAGCTGTAATGCCACGTACATTCCTGATGTGTAATTCATACAGCTGCTCTGAAATCAACCAAGCTGTGTAAACTGGTGCCAAAAACCTTGTCAGTATGTAAAAATCACCTCAGAAATAAAATCTATTTTCAAGGTAAGTAAAAGAGTCCTTGGGGTTTGAACAGAAATGCGATTTTAGAAAACTTTCAGATGTACTGTAAGGATTAAGCCTGTTTCTCAGGAGATGCTGCCTGCTTTCAGAATGACTCCATAAACAGAATCAAGTGGAAACAATATAAGGAAGAAAAAAAAAATGTAATCTGTTAGATGACAGAACCATCACAAAAAAAATTAGGAAGATACCCTGTGTGATATATTATCTACTCATTGTAAATGATACAAGAACACAGAAACATTACTTTTTCCCACAAATGTTCCACTTTTCTTTCCAGGTGCAGTTGCAGGAGCCTAAGTGCAGTTGTACTCAATGACTCCAATGCAAGTGGTAACAGAAATAGAAAAGCAGAAATCCTGGTGTGCCTTGTGTTACACACTGCAGATGTAGCTGGAACTGCTTCCCTCACTGCCTACAGCAAAGCTGTCTCAGAGTACCTGTGGTCCTGGTTGTTCTTATGCAGGCATACACAACACCCTAGCACATTCTAGCAGAGCAAAAGGAGAGATTATTGGGGAAAAATGCGTATAAGTGCTGAAATGAAAATGTGCGAGCCTCTTAAAAGTTCTCTTTACATTTCTGCTTACTCTCTGCTCTTGCCAATCTTGCTTGCCCATGAAATAAGGATACCATGAATGGTGAAGTTTTTAATGAAGTTAAAAACAATATATATTAGTTTTTCCTATTGCATATTTATATTTCCAAACACAGTGCTTTATAAAAAAATACAGGAAGAAAAGCAAAGCTGATTATCCTGGCCATTCCCTGGCTGTGGATTGTCCCAGCCATTCCCTGGCTCTGGGTTATGCCAGTCATTCCCTGGCTCTGTGCTATCCCAGGCATTCCCTGGCTCTGGGTTATCCCAGCCATTCCCTGGCTCTGGGTTATCCCAGCCTTTCCCTGGCTCTGTGCTATCCCAGCCATTCCCTGGCTCTGTGTTATGCCAGCCATTCCCTGGCTCTGGGTTATCCCAGCCATTCCCTGGCTCTGTGTTATGCCAGCCATTCCCTGGCTCTGGGTTATCCCAGCCATTCCCGGGCTCGGTGTTATCCCAGCCATTCCCCAGCTCTGGGTTATCCCAGCCTTTCCCTGGCTCTGGATTGTCCCAGCCATTTCCGGACTCTGGGTTATCCCAGCCATTCCCTGGCTCTGCATTGTCCCAGCCATTCCCTAGCTCTGGGTTATCCCAGCCATTCCCTGGCTCTGTGTTATCCCAGCCATTCCCTGGCTCTGTGCTATCCCAGCCATTCCCGGGCTCTGTGCTATCCCAGCCATTCCCGGGCTATCCCCACGCGCGCTGACAGCGGCCCTGCCCCGGGGCGCCCTCTGGCGGCCGCCGCGCCCCGCAGCGCCCGGAGTTTGCGGAGGGCTCGTCCGGAACTCCGGGCAGGGATCGCGGGCGGGACTGGGGCCGGGACGCTGCACGGAACAGCGCTCGCTGCCAAAGCGTCGGGAAAACACACAGTGCTCACACGGTGAGTCCACGTCAGGACTTCTGTTACAGGACGTAAGAATAGCACCTAGTGAACAGTCTAAAATCCTCCAAATACACATTGAAAGCATCTGGATCTCCTGGAGAGCAGGATTTTTGCTCAGAACTCCAGTCAGAGAAATGCCATGCTTGGGGTCACAATGCAGATATCTGCTGAGTTCAGCCTGCAAGGATGCACTGCATGGCATGGACACACAGAGCTCCCACACTCCACTTTCCAGTCCTGAGTGGAGAACTGTTCTATTTCCTCTGTTCAGAAATCCAAACATGCTACTCGATAATCCCACAGAGAGCAGCATTCCAGTATATACATAAATTACTCTGGAAATAAAAACATATTATTTGGGCAAATTTTTAATTCCCTAGGTATACTGCTGAAATGAGAGAAAGGGAGCATGGCTTTACTTGTTCTCATAGTTTACTGCATTAAGCCAAAATCATATTTTTATTGGTATGCAACTTAATGCTTTCTAGGATTTCTTTAAATTCCAAAATATCCAAGGCTTTGTGTTAAACTAATGAAAAGTTTACTGCCCTCCATAGTACCTTATCCTGCTTGACTCACACTCTTCAAATGACAGATGAATTCCAAATATACTGACAAATAATTTCCTGGTCTCTCTTCAATCCATTCTCTTCCTTTAGTTATTTTACTCCCTTATTCTCCATTCAGTTGTTCCCCAGTCACAATATCAACTGATTTATCTTCAAACTGAAATACAGCCCAGAACTTTAGCAAGCTTATCTGCTCCCATCTGGCCTTCATATTTAAATTAATGACACGCTCTATTTTCCTGTCTTGCCATTTCCTCCTGTGCTTTCTTTGCCCCGTTCCCTTTTTCTTGTGCTCACTTGAACTCGCTCTCACTAAAGCATCTGTAATGCTTTGGTAGCCACAAAACAGGAATAGCAGCACAGCCACATCCTCTGGAACTGACAGTCTGACACAGAACTTTTCTTGAAATCTTGTCCCACATAGCCTCAAAATAATACAAATCCTGTGAGCAATCTCATTGTGATTGGGATGTGCTCTGCACCAGACATGTCCCACTCTCCATACAAGTTTAATCTGCCTCTCTGAAGTCTTTCAGAACATATCTAGTTGTCACAGCAGAATCAAGAGAACTAAACCCATTTTACAATTCCTCATAAGGTCTCACTGGTGCTTATGTTCTCATTAACTTCTCCACCCAGAAACTGATGGGCTTCATTCTAGGCCTCTACAGCACTCTTGGGTATAAGAATAAAGTTATTTTACTCTTTAAAACATTTCTCTTCCTATTTTCCATGAGCTAAAATATTTTTCACTCCTACCTGAATTCTGCAGCAGCCTTTTTTCAGGCTCTGACAGGGATAGAAAATTTTGAAGTATTCAGATCCACAAAAATAAGCTTCCTACATGATAGCTCTGAATTTTTTAGCTTTCCATCCTGATTTCCTGACCCTGCACAGACCAGGAAGCTGGAACAGTTGCCCTCCCAAAGGCCTTTCCAATACATTTTCTCTCTTTTGCACCAACAGATTGCTCCCCATTCTCCTGCAGCTTCCAGGTTATTCTTCCAATCCCTTACCCATCATTCAGCATGGAGAGGATACCCTTAGCTCCAGTTTTCCAATAATGGCAACTTATTGTTATTCACTCTTTAAAGTTTCAATTCAACATGTACATACTATTTCCCATAATTTCCTGAGGGCTGGGAAGAGCTTCCTAGCAAGCAAGCAAAAGTCACCTCTTTCTCCTCCTGTGTTTCTAACAGTTCCTTGCTGCAAAATCTAAAAAAAATCTCTTTCCTTGTGCTCATGTCTTTTGTCAAAGACATAAAGACTTTTTGTTTCGTCATGAGTTCAGAATAAGGGTTCTCAGTCTGTGGGTGAAGTTTCTAGACACTAAATAATACAAATCATAAAACAAAGCAAAGGTTTCACATTTCCAATACTTAATCCTGGAAGCAGTGTGTAACAGCTAGCCATGGGTTGCAATGGAATTACCTGGATCACTGAGTTTATTATAAAACAAAAGCTTGCAGGATAAACACACCCTTTGTAAGATCTGTTTTTTACTGCAGCCATTCAGTTTGATTCATTTATTGTCTCCAAAAAAATGACAATCCTTATTTACTTGTTGTCTTAAGGAAAGCAGACAGATTGATGATTATGTTAAACCATGAATCAAAGCCAACAGTCTGCTCAGCAAAGATAACTATTTCAATTTGAATGTTTTGGGTTTTAAATTTTTACTGTCTCAAATCTGTGTGAAACTTGAGAAAGTCTGGCAATATCTTCAAGCTCAGAAAGGAAATGATGTACAGGAGCAATGGGACAGGAAGCTGTTTCAGGAAGTCATAGTTACCTCGGCACAAATTGAGGACGTTCCAGAACTCTGGCACCAAACACTACAGTAATCTGAAGTGGGAAAAAATGAAACCAAATACAAGATACAACAGATTTGTAAAAGCCTGAAATTTCTTTCCAGGTTATGCAGATACATCTTAAAAAAAAAAAAAACAATACCAAAACCGGCCCGACAAAAAGTCAGATGTTTTTCCCCTATGTTTTTTTAGACAAAATATTATTTAACATGAATATTAAGATTCATTTTTGGATCAACTTCCCCACGTACATACAGATTTTTATGTAAAGAATGTGCTATTTATTCAGAGGGAAGTTGGTAAAACAACTGAAAAAGATACTTCAGTCATATGTTTTGGGGAAAATAATGATGGCTCTGACATCATGAGTCCCTGTAGTTCTGCTTCTTATCTTACATAGGTACAGTGAAACCAACATAAAATTGAAGGCAGTTCCCTTCTACAGGGATGTGGCATTTTTTGACTTGTTCCTTTGTGATCCAGTACCAAACCAAGCTGTCTTTCTGTAACTCTCCTACCTAGGGAGGAACTGCCCATCCCGCAGTCACCTGATTATTTCTGCTTCTGTGCCCAACTTGGAACTTGGCCTGTTGACTTTACCACTGTTTTCTTCAGATCACATATCTAGTTTATCAAATTCCTGTAATAGAATTACTGGTTCACTACAATAGAAATCCTGAATTCAATTTGCTACACTTTTAATGAATTATCAGTGGTACATTCTGAAGCTCCATGTTGTTTCCTAACAAAATAAATGCAGCCATCCAGATTTGTACAGGATTTCTTTCCCCTTATTTTTCATGGAAGTTGAAACTATATACTGTCTATAGGCCTATTTTTATGCTGCAGTTTTCCTTCCAAAGTATTTTGTCAGATTAATTAAAAAACTCAACATTGTGTGGATACCTTTCAAAGAGCTTTGAAAATGACACAATTTTAAGATGTTATGATTTTTTTCTTCTTCCCCCCCGCCAATATTCCTGAGGCAACCACATGGGAGGAAGGGAGGAAGCTATCACCTTATCTTCCTTCATGTATTTGGCTAGGTGACCCAATATTCTGCAGCTCTCTTTTCCATGCTGTATCTCACTGCAGAATCAGTTTGCTGTCAGTTCTCCTTTGCTTTTTTGCATTCCAAGCATCTCAGTTCTATACAGTTGGTAATTTCCCTAAAATTTCTTATGCAAGTACAAAATGATCTACACAGTCAACTAAAAATGGTCAGGCTGATCTAATTCAAGCTGATATGAAAGAATGCTTCAAATCTTCTCATCCTGGGAATGGTGGGGATAAATATTTTCACTGCGCATCTATAAATGTTGAATGATCAAGCAGGCTACCACACACATATTTGACGTTTTCTTTATTAGAAATTATTTATTTCTAGAAATAATAGTGTGATCTGATATGGCTATTCTAATATATATTTAGTATTTAATTTTTTAAAATAATGTATGTGAAGCTAACAATGAATTAACTGTGAAAATTTATTGAATTTTAAGTTTTCTATGACATTTTCATTCTGAAAGTGCTGGAGAATATTTGATGACTTGTACTAATTGTTCACTCATCCAAAAATATAAGTAGAGCTCTCTTCTCTTGCTCAACACTATCATCAATTAATTTTCCATCATTGCAAAACCAAATCCAAAATCTTGCTCTGTCCTCTTGGCTTCATGAAATAATGAAAAGAAACATAATGATATGTTATTTCACTGCCCAAAAAGAACAGAAAACATCTCAAAACAAACATGAATGTTTATAGCTGTATGGTTGTTTTTATAAATTTAGTAAAATGGTAATGTTAGTAGTTCAGGCACTTTTAAAAAAAAAAAAGTTCTCTAAAAATCCCAATCACATGAAGAGAGATAAAATCACCGGAATGAAAACCAGGAGATAATGACAGGAAATACCAACGCTTAACAGGAAAACATTTTAGTGGCAGGAGGGTACCAAATATTTAGCAGCAAAGCACAGATCTGGTGAGAAGTATTTATTTGAACTCCCAGTCAGCAAATAAATCAGTATGGATAACTAGAATATTATTCCAGAATATGTATGTATGTATGTATGTATGTATGTATGTCTCTATCTATCTATCTATCTATCTATCTATCTATCTATCTATCTATCTCTTTTTCCAGTGTATATATATGTATATTATATATTTGTGGAGAATTAATAGAAAAATAATAGTATGTGAATACTTAGGAGCAGAAAAGCTCTTAACAGGAGGTGAGGAGGTGTAAAAACATCTGATTGTGTGGAACAGCAAGAACTATGGACAGAAATAATATCAGTATGACAATACAACTCACAAACATAGTAATTTATACTTGTAATACTTCTATTTGTGTTAGCATTTTTCTAAAAAGAAAACACCCTTATTTTATATTATAATTTTAATAAAAAGTAGAGGGGAACCCTCCAGTTTTAGAGATACTTTTAGCAGGAGAAAGAAATGACTACATCTTAGAAAAGAATGGCAAATGTGGCTTTCAATACTTCCTATAGGGAAGGAAACCTCTGAACCACCAATAAGACTTTTCAAGAAAAAGCAGGCAGATCTTATTTATAACCTACTGAATTATTTGTAACCTACTAAAACCACAGAATAACAGTGGAAAACTGCTTGCTAACAATAATTTAATTACCTAAATCATTGCACCCACGTAACATAAAACAGATGTTTCATTGTGACATCATATTAATATCAAATGCTGCAGAAAAACCTTACACTACAAGCAATGAGTAAAAACGAAAAAGCTAGAAGCCTTCTCACCAGCATATATTCACATCTCAAATCTACTTTTATAAGGTAAATTAAAAAAAAGAGGTCAACAAAAAGAGTATAGAAGACTACTCCTTTGAAAGCTCAAATTTATAAAATTTTAATTTTGCTATGAATTAAAATGCAGTACAACTTTTTGCTTCAACTAATGGAGCAATTAGGAACATCTGCAAAACTCCAGCATATTTAAAGTCTGTCTGAGCCTGCGCCAAGTTCAACAGGCAGTCCATTTTCTGTTGGTTCAGGCCATATTCATTCCCCTCCTAGTCAAAACAAGCAGTTATAACTGGAATTAAAGATTGGTTTTGTCATGGACTGTGAGTGCTGATTGAAACTTTTTCCATGCCTTGTGTATATATATCCAGTCCCTTGAGCTGAGAATGTGAAGCCTTTCCATCCATGCAACACTAACAGGGCTCACAGCCCTACCCAGCAGCCTAAGGTGGTGTTATTATTTCTATCAAGTTCACTTGAAACTGACCAGTTGCAAAAGTTACAATAGCAAATCAGAAACACAAATGTAACAAACACAAACCTGAACATAGAAGTGCAGGCCACATGAACTCAGCAGGGCTAAAAATCTCCCAGTTGTGCTGTAGGATATGTTAGGTTTTAATAAGCAAAGCATAGAGAATATGTTGGTCTTATCTGAGACTCTGAGTGAGGATACACTCCAATTTATTCTTGACAAGAGATAAATGGTTGTACCCTCCCCCTACCCCCATACCTCTTTCCCAAGATTCATATCCTTCTTGGGAAAGCAGATCTCCTCCACCTCTGTGCAAATAATCACAGAATCACCCAGGCTGGATAAGACCTTCAAGATCATCCAGTCCAACACTACCATAATCACCCCTAAATCATTCTCCAAGTGTCACATCCAGACACCTCTTGAACACTTCCAGAGAAAGTGACTCCAGCACCTCCCTGGAGAACTTACTCAAATAAGATGATGATTACATAAGACAGTGATTCAAGATTATGTCAACCAAAGCTGTTGATGAGAAAAACAAAACTTTATTTCAAAATGACACTTTTCAAGGTCATAATAAAAATGGGATAATTATGAAGTCACATTGTAAATATTTTTTTAATGCCTGTACAGAATGAGAATACAAAAGCAGTTTATTTTTAAAAAAGTCAAGATCTCACCAATCTGAGGTGGTTTGTGCTATTAGGTCTTGGGCTACAAAAGAGACTGCAGGTGCAGTTATGAAATTCTCCATTTCCAGACTAGGCATAGCTCACCTCACCCATCCCAGCAGTTACTGAATAAAGATGTCTCTGGATCAGTATTTTCAGAAGACTGTCTTCTCTGTGAACCATGATCAACTGCATCTTGTAACATGACCACCTCTTAAGTTAATCCATTACTGGGGACCAAAATTATAAGATGCAGAGCAATAACTACCTGGGACACAGTTCCATGGAACTTTGGGAAAATGCATCATTATTTCAGATGTTCTCAGTGACCAGCCTGTCTCTGAGGTTAATTTAGTGGTGTCCCCACTGCCCTTTTTTTCCTGGCTGTCTGCTCCTGGAGTAATTCTGCACTTGTATAGACCCAGTCACCTGTTGCATTAGCAGTTGTGTCAAATTAGATTGGGAATTCAAATCTGGATGGCTCACAACATGGCCATAGAAACAAATGTGCTGGCACAGAGCATTATGAGTTGTCAGCCATAAGAACATTGCTTTCTGGCCTATATTTGTTGCTAAAATCTCTGTCATTGTCTTACAATGAAACTATGAATGCTGCTGGGCTTTTTCATATATTTAGGTTTATTGTCCCATCTTTTTGGTTTTTTCATTATTCATACATTAATTTATATTAATTAATTCATAGGAAGAAGTATGTTAGCCAAAGCAATCCCATCTTTCATGAAATTTATTGCAGATCAATATTGCCACCCAACATTTGTAATTATTATTATCCTCCTGAGATGCTATAATTTCTCTAGGTTTTAAATTATGAAATTCATTCCTAATGGAGATTTTCCACCACCTGAAAATGACCTACAATTGTGAAAGAAAAAAAAGAAGAAAGGCAGATGAAATTAATATCAAGCACCAGGAGATAAGTGTTTTACCAGATTCAGGGTTGGGGCTACATAAATATTACTACAGTCCCAAAAGAAAGTTTTCCTAAAAGATCAGACCACAGTTACATTACCAGCAGCTTCCAGGGACAATCAACATCCCCTAATGCACTGGCAACAAGTGTAAAATGTTTTAACAACTCCTGCATGCAAATCATTCATAGAAATAAACACACACTTCACACACAAGATATCTCAACAGGCAAGACTAGAAAGATTCTGGTTTTGTTTCTCATTTCTTCATAGGATCGCAATGTATCAGGTGTCAAGTTATGTGGTTAAGTAGATATACCCATCCAACTGCTCAGGCATTCAAAATTGGCAGCTTAGAAGTTAAACTGGGACTTTAACATTTTGTAAAAATCAAAACTAATAGGATGGTTCAAAGCTCAGCATTTAAGAATTCTGAAAACTCTGGCAAAAGCTTTCCAGGAGTAATGTTCAACTCACATTTTCAGAGACAGAAAAACAAAAGAAAATCTGCATTACAAAGCATGCAATCGAGACAAAAAATTAACGTGAATAGTAAACTAGATAGCAATGAAATGATGGAGTATAAGTGGTCCTAACTACCAGCAATTTTCCCAGAGTTGTCTTAAAACATTACATAAGTGCTTGAACAATGTGTCACCTTTTAACATTGACTTTCTTTCTGTTGCTGTCACAGCTGGGCCTACCCAAGAGGAAAGTCATCATCATTCACACAAGTTGCTCACAAAGAGCACGCTCCAAGCCACAAGTAAAATTCACTTGCTGTTTTAGACAAGGTTAAAAAACCCATCTAATCCAGTGTTACTAATATTAATCTGGTTTATTCCCTTGCATTTAATTGAGAAAAGTCAGGACTTTACACTGCCATATCTATAGGTGGGTTCCTGACATGAGTGATAAAACTGACAAATGAGAATATTAGTGAGGTGAATATTTATAAACACATTCACATACATGTATGTATTAAAAACCATACTGCATAGATCTTTATTTTTTCTACTGGCATGCCAAAAAGGAAAATTAAAAGCAAGCCTTGAGTTAACTGTCAATACTTCCATATACTGACTGAAAAAAATTGAGTTACTTTTACAAATCTTAGCTCTGACAACAGTGGTATATATCTCTCAACATAAAATTTAACTTTAGATCTCTCTGGTATTTCACCGCTAAAATGGAGATTTTAAAGTTGAGCATTAAGTATTTGTAACTCCCAATGAGTTGCATTCAGTTTAATTTTCAAATTAAAACTCCTATTCCAGACTATCTTCTAAGGCATGGTTCTGTTGATATCTCATATACAGCAGTAAATAAGTTAGAATAAATGCTTAACATTTTTATCTGAATGTCAAATATAACCAGATAAAATTTATCATTTTGATGGTTATTGTGGCTAATATATCACTATATGGGGTAATCATAATGGCTAAATCACATATCTGATTGCATACATATAAAATAGCTTTGATTAACACTCAGAGATATCCACAGTACTCTGCAAAACAACCTTTTGTAGGAATAAAAGGAAAAAGTCCTACTCAGTTACATAAATTCATTTCATTTTACAATAAACAGTCTCTAGTCCTTTGCAGTGAAACAGCTGCATCTTTGAAGGCAAAAAAGCCCATATTCATCCAAACTGCATTCTAGAATTTAATATATGAAAAATAAATATACCATTGAAGCCTTTGATACAGTGGAATTAACATTTCTGCAAGGAAGATGCACAATATAGACTGCCATGTTGTTAACATAACCTCATTTCATACACCAGTGGTAATGAGGGTTCAATGCAAAAGGATTATAAAGCCCTTGTCGTTCTGTTTCACAGATGATGTTGCTACCTGGGAAGGCTTTAGAACTCGAATGTTTGCAGCCCAGCACAGGGATAATAGGACACTCAATGCCCTACTGTACTTCCTAAAGCTCTTTTCATCTCTAGCAGTGTAGGGAGAAGCAGCACACAAGGCTACTTCCATTCTTATTTGTGGAAAACATGAGGGGAGAATAAGGTCAAAACAAAACTGATACACCAGTAGAGAAAGAAAAGACATCTCTAACACGTTCCTCACCTTGGATATCCTTCAACACGGACACATGAATGCAGTATATATGAGAAAAACCCCATTGTTAAAGGAGAAAAGAAACATGGTTAATAGGCTTTCTCTTGGCCTTTTCCTGTTACTGTTGGAAGTGACATTTCTTTAAAAAACAAATAAACAAACCAATTTCTCAGAATGAAAATGCCAAAGGTAACTGAAAAACAAAATAGCTACCTGTCGCCGGAATCACTTACCAAAACTGATTAATGACTGTTGCTTTTAAACTTTTGAACTTGCATACCTAACAATGTTCTACTTATAGATTAAATCAATAAGTCTATACAGAAAATTAACTATACATAATTTTATAAATTTGATTCTTTAAAAAGCAGAGCTCTACTGTACTGGAGATTACAATGTGTTGGGATCTGTAATAAAATACATTAATCAACACTTTTCAGTCTGGGATGTACAATACAACAAAACAAAGTGCATACAGATAGAAAATACTCAAAATCTGCACTGCTGTAAGCAAGACAAACTTTTCACAGTAAGTATTCTATATATTTTTTGTTATTTTGGGTATATGAATGAATTTATCTATAATGTAAGCTTAAATATATGTGAGTGCCCAAGAACATACTTATTCTAAACACTAGAGTGGGCATATGTGTATTTAGACTCTTGAAAAAGGGTTTTATCTTTACAGAATCTAACAAACTTTAAAATGGAATATAAGCCAATACTCTGCAAATTAAATACCCTTGTCTATTACAGCAGATGTTTTAATATGGGTATAAAAATGTACCTTCTTGCAGTATTGTTGTACAATTCCAAATTATTGTTTTCTAAATTCCAAGGCATTTTAATAGGAATTTCAAAAAACTAAAGAAATACATACTTCCATAACATTGCCTCCTCTTAATTGCTGTACCAGGAATCACACTGCCATGGAACTCTGCCAAAATGGAAAGATCAGGCCAACATGTGGAGGCACAGGAAAAGTAAAATATTCAAGTAATTTTATTGAACACCACTGTGATTTTTTGAAACATTATTTTTCAATTTACAGTGGAACAAACTGTCAATAGCACCAACCCATTAAAAAACTGCTTTATGTACAAATACCTAGGGCAAATTGCAGTTACCTTGGTAATTTGTTAGCATGTGGTTATTTCAAATAAAAATATTGCATAGATTTTATAATACTATACTATTTGCATAGATTAAAAGATGAAGAATGGAAAGTGTTATGAGTGCATCCTGGTTACCATGGACACATTCCATTCTCAATGTTATTTGGAGGTGCAAGTGGTAAAGGAATTCACTACCACACTGCTTATTCCATAGGCATTTTCTTCTTTAATAAAGAGAGAAGAAGAAAGGATGAGCAAACCTAAATCTAAACAGCAGGAACCAAACAAAGCTTCAGGTAAAAAGTAATTGCAATTTTTTAACCAATAAAACAACTTAAATATTTAAGTGAAAATTAGCAAAAATTAAACTATTTAGGGAGCATCTATTGTCAAAATGAATCTGAACTGTAGATTACCAGAAGCATAGAACTCTTTACATTGTATGAGAAAATAATATTTGAAATTTGTCACATGGTGAGCCACCTTCCTCAGGATGTGGGTCTCACTTAATCTCATTCAGAAGCTGTAGAAGTAGACAAGTCTCACACATCAAATTCATACTGTATACTGGGAAACCTCTGGGGAAGCTGAGACAGACAGGGTGAATTGTGAAACCCTGTACAAAGGCAAATATGAGAAACTTTCTCCTTCCCCAGTACACTTTATTAGGATTTCAAACTTCTTCAGATTCAGCTTTTTGCTTTGCTTAAAACCAGTAGCTCAAAACACAGTTTCTCAGATTACAGGCTATATGGAGGTTAACTTTTCCCTTAAATTATTCTCTTTTAAACAGTTAAACATTTGTTGGAGAAGGAAGGTGATTACAGGATCTAGAAAATAACATTGTTGAGATTCAGGAGATCTAGATTCAAACATTTTCCTCTGTCCAAGGTGAATGGCCTAAATCCCCAGTCTTTGTTTTTAGCCTTGGATTTGTTACTACAGTCCAAGATCTCATTCCACTGTACAGTGAAGGAGCCATTGTGCTTTCTAGAGAGAAAATGTCACATTCTCAGTCTTAGAGACTTTACCTCTACTAAATCCCTTTACCCAGATTATTTTATCACACATTATATTACTTCCCCATCATATTAAAAAAAAAAAACAAAAAACCAAAGAACAACCTGTGCCTTGGTTGGGTTTTGTAGATTAAAGAAGACCAGAAAATTTTGATTTCAGAATTAGAGTATTCAAAGGCTTTTGTCACTCATTTTACAATTTTATCTTTTTTTTCTCTTGCACAGTGTTGTTGCATTTTTACTACAATTGCAAAAGAATCTATTGGTTATAAAACAATTAACTTCCATGTATTTTGGTTAAAAAATTGCCCATTTCACCCTCACTTAAATCTTTACAAAATAAAAGTGGAATAAATATCAACATTACTGAAATATCTTAAAGGAGATAACTATAAATTAGACAGTTCTAAAATTTTTACTTATGAAAAGGCACCCTCTCACCATAGTTTTTTCTACTTCTACTCTAACATAGTTGCATCTAATTGAGAAGCTGATACCACAGTAGAGGGGTTTTTTTACTTTACAGTGAAGTTTTTCACATAGTTGCATTAACATCCACACTGCAGCTTTGACTGCATAAGAAATAAAGAAAATTTTGAGTTGGACAACAGAAATCGTTAGGTTTAGACAAAGCTATGCTCATTCTGCAAGTGAATGAAGCTGAGGCTTCTAGGTCACTTTAAAAAATGCAAAACAGGTACCTTAAAATTTTATTAAATTTTCACCAAGAAG